AGATAATAGTGTTCATGATTTTGATTCTGACGATTCAATTGCTGACCCTAACTTTGCGTGTTCTTCGAGTGAATCTGAAAGCTCCAATTCGGATTTAGAATCTGCTGATACCAATAACTCTGCAGGTAAAAGAAAAGTTTTGTATCCGTGTAATAAAGAGAATAAAAGTCGAAACAGGAAAAAGAATGTACAGAAGTGGCGAAAGAATGAAAGCAAATTCTTAAGGAACTGCGGTAAAAGTTACAAGTCTATTAAGAAAATTAAACGTGACGATGGCACAATTAAAAAAATTGAAGTTACAAGAGATGCTCGAAAACTGAGACCTCCTTGTGGAGAAAAATGTCGGCTTAAATGCTCAAAAAAATTGTCTCATCAAGAAAGACAAAATATATTTGACGAATTTTGGAAAATGGCAAACTTGCAGAGGCAACGTGATTTTATCGCCGCCAAAATGACAACTGTAAACCCAAAGTACCGCTATCAGAAGGAAAACAGTCACCGTCGGCATAATACTGCTTATTATTTCGATCGTGGGGTTGAAAATGTAAGGGTTTGTAAACAGTTTTTTATTGCTACTCTAGGCATAAGTACAAGAATGGTTCGAACTGTTGAAGAGAAACGGGTTTCTACTCAAGTAGGGATTATTTCCACAGATTTTAGGGGAAAGCATGGTAATCATGCTACTGTGCCAACAACTATAAAAGAACGAATTAGAAATCACATTAGTTCTATCCCTAAAATTGAAAGCCACTATTGTCGTGCCCGAACTACCAAGGAATACATTCCCGGAGATAAGACAATAAGTGACCTCTATAGAGATTATAAAAAGATGTGTAACGAAGAAAATGTAGCTCATGGTAATTACTTCATGTATTATACAATATTTAACCAAGAATTTAATCTGGCATTTTATATTCCGAAGAAAGATCAGTGCGAGCTCTGCATCAAATTTGAAAATTCTTCTGACGATGAAAAGCAACAAATTGCTGAGCAATACGAGGCTCACTTGCTAGAGAATGATCTGTCCCGAATGGAAAAAGAGAATGATAAGAAGTCTACTAATATAGTTGCAGTGTATGACTTACAGGCGGTATTACCGTGTCCTCAGGGTGACGCCTCGATATTTTATTATGTTTCAAAACTGAATATTTTTAATTTTACAATTTTTCAACTTAAAACCAATGATGTTAATTGCTACGTATGGCACGAGGGACAAGCCAATCGAGGTTCTATTGAAATCGCTTCCTGTGTATGGCGTTTTTTAGAACAGCTGAATGATGAAATAGCCAACAATTCGACTGCTGATAATAAAACAACAGAAGTAGTTTTCTACTCAGATAATTGTGCCGAGCAAAATAAAAATAAAAATATTATTACTATGTATCGAAAAGCTCTTTTGACATTTAAGTGGATTAAAACTATAAGTCATAAATATTTAGTCACTGGGCATAGTCAAAATGAAGGTGACAGTGCTCATTCTAATATAGAGAAGCAGATTAAGAAAGCTAGAAAATCTGGCCCAATTTATGTCCTTGATCACTACGTGAGTCTCATAAGATCTGCAAAAAAA